GTCCCCAGAGTAAAAATAGCCGGGAAATGTGACCGTTGTGGCACGTGGCTCTGGCGGAAAGGTCAGCGAGAGGCCCCGCGGTGGGGGCGCCGTGGATTAGCCGGGTGAGTTAAACGGCGCCTTTGTCAGAGCCAGGAACGAACATGCAGGAAATATGGGGAGGGGGGAGGCTCCAGCCCACGGCTGAACTGGGCCCCTGGCACCGCAGAACGGACCCCCCTCCCTGCCCCCGCCCCCAACAGCCCAGCCCCGGTGGGCACCGGTGCGCGCAGCATGGCAAAGCTGCCCATCGCCGTGGGCTCCAGCAAGCAGCCGGGGGTCTCCGGGGTGGGGGGCTGCTCAGAGCGTCGGCCCCGGGGATGGCAGCCGCTGAGCAGGGGTTTCCCGCGTGACCCATGGAGGGCGAGCTCGGGGCTCTGCCAGCTGGCACCTTGGCTCACAGCTGCGGCCGTCCCGCCATGCCAGGGCGCTGCCCCCGCCTGCCCCTCGGCAGCACCCACAGGGCTGGCGCAGGGTCGCGCTGAGTCAGCAGAGCAGGGACCCTACATCCCCGCAGCCCGTTCCGGTCGTGCCCAGGGACCCTGAGTCCTGCCAGCTCCCCGCGGCCTCCCCACTGCACAGAGGGGGAGGGATTCATAGAATCACAGAATATCAGGGTTGGAAGGGACCTCAGCAGGTATCTAGTCCAATCCCCTGCTCAAAGCAGGACCAACCCCAACTAAATCATCCCAGCCAGGGCTTTGTCAAGCCTGACCTTAAAAACCTCTAAGGAAGGAGATTCTACCACCTCCCTAGGTAACGCATTCCAGTGTTTCACCACCCTCCTAGTGAAAAAGTTTTTCCTAATATCCAACCTAACCCCCCCCCCCACTGCAACTTGAGACCATTACTCCTCGTTCTGTCATCTGCTACCACTGAGAACAAGCCTAGATCCATCCTCTTTGGAACCCCCCTCTCAGGTAGTTGAAAGCAGCTATCAAATCCCCCCTCATTCTTCTCTTCTGCAAACTAAACATCCCCAGTTCCCTCAGCCTCTCCTCATAAGTCATGTGTTCCAGACCCCTAATCATTTTTGTTGCCCTTCGCTGGACTCTCTCCAATTTATCCACATCCTTCTTGTAGTGGAGGGCCCAAAACTGGACACAGTACTCCAGATGAGGCCTCACCAATGTCGAATAGAGGGGAACGATCACGTCCCTCGATCTGCTGGCAATGCCCCTACGTATACATCCCAAAATGCCATTGGCCTTCTTGGCAACAAGGGCACACTGCTGACTCATATCCAGCTTCTCGTCCACTGTAACCCCTAGGTCCTTTTCCGCAGAACTGCTGCCGAGCCATTCGGTCCCTAGTCTGTAGCGGTGCATTGGGTTCTTCCGTCCTAAGTGCAGGACCCTGCACTTATCCTTATTGAACCTCATCAGATTTCTTTTGGCCCAATCCTCCAATTTGTCTAGGTCCCTCTGTATCCTATCCCTACCCTCCAGTGTATCCACCTCTTCTCCCAATTTAGTGTTATCCGCAAACTTGCTGAGGGTGCAATCCACACCATCCTTCAGATCATTAATGAAGATATTGAACAAAACCGGCCCCAGGACCGACCCTTGGGGCACTCCACTTGATACCGGCTGCCAACTAGACATGGAGCCATTGATCACTACCCGTTGAGCCCGACAGTCTAGCCAACTTTCTACCCACCTTATAGTCCATTCATCCAGCCCATATTTCTTTAACTTGCTGGCAAGAATACTGTGGGAGACCGTGTCAAAAGCTTTGCTAAAGTCAAGAAACAATACATCCACTGCTTTCCCCTCATCCACAGAACCAGTTATCTCGTCATAGAAGGCGATTAGATTAGTCAGGCATGACCTTCCCTTGGTGAATCCATGCTGGCTGTTCCTGATCACTTTACTCTCCTCTAAGTGCTTCAGCATTGATTCCTTGAGGACCTGCTCCATGATTTTTCCAGGGACTGAGGTGAGGCTGACTGGCCTGTAGTTCCCCGAATCCTCCTTTTTCCCTTTTTTAAAGATGGGCACTACATTAGCCCAGCGTCACACAGGGACGACCCTCGATCTCCCAGATGGGTGCCCCATGCCTCTGTCCACCAGCATCCTCGTACAGCGCTGCCGGTGCCCCTCACTCCCCACCTGCAGCCCCCCTGCCAGCCCCCAGCTCTGCCAGTGCCCCTCACTCCTGACCCACAGCCCCCGCTGTCCCCTGCATTTCCATAGGCCTGGACCCAGTGCCTGGCTCTGTCTGCTGAGTTTCTTCTCTTGCTGCCTGATCCTGGAGGCTTCGCCCCCCACCCCGGCCGGCTAGAGTAGCGCAGCCTTGCCGGGCCCTGGGGACTCCCCCGGCACTGACCTGGCGGCTCAGGGCCGAGCCCAGTGCCTCAAAGGACCCTGCCCGGTGCGGCCGGTCTGTGCCAGGCTCCGGGGATCCTGCCAGCTGCGGAGGAAGCACTGCCAGCTCTCGGCAGCCTCCCCGAGGCCGGGTTCGCGGGGCCGGAGCCAAGACAAAAGGCTTTTGACAGGGATTTCGCTTTTCAGAACAGCCGCCACCCTGAGCGGGCGAGGGAGCGAGCGATCGTGCCCGGCAGGTGCACGGGGTGACAGCAGCCGGGCTGGGGGCTCCTCCATCCTCCCCCACCTGCCCCTGCCCAGGCTGGTCCTGCAGGCTCCAGGCGCTGCTGGGGCCATGAGCCGTGCCAGCCCCCGGGGAGGGGCCCGGTGCGCTGGGCAGGGAGCAGAGATCGATAGACTGGACCCTCCCCTGCCTGCCCAGTGCCCGCTCACAGCCTGGCGACCAGCCAGGGGCCAAACCGGCCCCTGCCAGCCTCAGGGAGCAACCCCTCCCCAGCGTGTCCCCACCCTTGCTGCATGCCGCAGGGCCTGGCCCCGCTGTGCCCTGACCCGGACACGCTCGGGCCCCTGCGCTGGGCTGGGGCAGGACTGGGCCCCGGGCCCCGGATCAGGCTGGCCTGCTGCCCGGGCCCCTGCGTCTCTCCCACTCTGGAGCGCAGGGGGACCCGCAGTCCAGCCGCAGGGAACCTGGCTGCGGCTCCGCGCCCCCCCCGCAGGAGATTTACAGCCCGCCCGGCTTTACGACTTGGAAGCTGCTTACGCCGGGGATTTTCCCCCGTGCCGGCCCATAAAGAACCCGGCCGGTGACGGGCTGGAGGCTGATTTCCAGCTCACTGCCTGCAGCACGGGGTCCTGCCGGGTATTTCGCACGCCCAGCGCCTGTGCATAGAGAGGGGCAGCCCTGCCCCCCCAGGAGAGCACACAGGGCCAGAGCCCGGCCAGCCCGCCAGCCCCACGGCTGCCCCACAGCTCCTGGCCAGAGCGCTGCTCCAATCCACCTCCCCCAGCGTCCTCCCGCTGGGATGTGCTCACACCAGGTCTCGCGGCTGAGAACCCAGGAGTCCTGTGCCTATCCCAGCACATGCGGGGGAGGGGAGCAGCGCCTGGCTCTTCCCCCCAGCATGTCCCTCCCCCCGGCACCAGCCCCACACCTCCAGTGGGCCCCCAACTCCCACTCCTCGGCACTGCCCGTCCCTCCCCACGGCACCCTGCTTAGAAACGGCCCCACACAGCAACCCCGCCACCCCACACTGCCATCAGCAGGGCCCAGGGCTTTGTCCCCAGGGAGTCTGGGGTCTGCCTCGAAGGGCTCAGTGCCCCAGCAGGACCCAAGTGACCCAGTGCTTAGCCAAGCCCTCCAGCGACGGGCATCGCCACCTCACACTGGCAGCCCCACAGCCAGCCCCCAGGCCCACCCCTCCTCCCTCTGGCCCCCTAGTCCCCCAGCTATTCTACTCCAGACCCTCGGCCTTCGATCCCACCTCAGCAGGCTCAGCCCAGGGACCCCCCCACCCACACACCTTGGAGGGGGCAGTGAGGAGCCAGGCGTCCGTGCCCCCCAGCCCCTCCCGCGGCCAGGGCACAGAGTCAGGGTGTGATCAGAGTGCAGGGCTCCTGGCTCCCAGCCCTGTGCTCATGCCTGTGCCCAACAGCGAGACCGGCCATGCCCCCCTGTGCCCACCGCGGGCACCCAGCAGGGAAAGGGGCAGCATCCTGCACTCCCCCTGCCCTCCACAGGCCCCCTCCCCGGAGCCCCCCTCTCCTCTCCCTCTCTCCCCCACCTTCCTCGGGGAGCCCCCCCACTCCACAGAGGTGGGATCTCCACTGGGCCAGCTCTGGCCTCGTGCTGCTGGCTGAGACCCGCTGCCCTGCCCCCGGTGCCCGCAGCTCCCCTCCCCGAGCCGGGCGCGGGCTGCGGCTGGCAGCGCTGCTCCGGGAGCGCGGAATCAGGCCGCGTGGCAGCCGCAGGAGGGAAGCGGCTCATTTCCAGAGTCATTACGGGCGGCAAAGGTCCCACCAGGCTTTCCGCCCGCTCAGCACATTGATTTCCCCAAAGCACAGCGGGGATTTGGGGCTTCAGGCTCCAGAGCGGAGCCGGCACCCCCGCTAGCGGTGCCCGGCTGGGAGCCTCGCTGCCTGGACCAGCACCTGGAGGGCGGCCCGGGCCCCGGGCCCCGGGCCCCGGGCCCCGGCGTGGAAGGGGCCAGCCCAGGGCCGTGCAGGCTGCCAGGGGGGACGGAGGCACACTGGGAGCAGCCCCTGCTTGGGCGCTCCGGGCACACATGACCCTGGCACCCCAGGGGTGTCTTTCCTTGCGAACCCCCTGCCAACCCCGGTGCGGGGGGCTCTCTCCCAGCACAGCAAGAAACAGCAACTTCCCAAGGCGTCCAGTGATCCCTCGGCTCTCCCCCGGCCCCGGCTCTGCAAGTCCCTCCATCGGGGGGCCCCAGAGCCCGGCCCCCAGCGTGGCTCAGCCCCCTGGACAGAGCTCTGGCGCTCGGGGAACTTGGAGGGAAACTCCACCAGACACGGCTGGAGCAGCAGGAGGCCGGGTGCCAGGGGGCCGGGCGGGCGCCAGGGGGCCGGGCGGGCGCCAGGGGGCCGGGCGGGCGCCCGCGGCCGGCGGGGACTCACCACGGTGAAGTTCCGGGAGGAGCACTTCTCGCCGCTGAAGTTGCAGCTCTGGAGCATGTCGTCGAGCTGGTGGCCGGTGCGGTTCAGGATGTCGGCCATGTCCGGGTCGGGGTAGAGCAGGTCGGCCGCCCTGTGCCCCTCGCGGTCCTTGGGGGGCAGCCCGGTCATGTTGGCCAGGTGGAAGATGTCGGCGTCGGAGAGCGCGGAGTGGCGGAAGCGGTTGATGTTGCAGATGGTCACGGCCGGGAAGAGCATCTCGCGGGCGGCCTCCTCGTCCAGCGCCGCGAGGTGCGGGCGCTCCAGGTACAGCAGCGCCGAGCGGGCGGCCTGGGACAGGAGGAAGGCCAGCGAGAGCAGGAAGGCGAAGGCCCACAGTGTCTGCCGCACGCCCAGGCGCCCCGACCCGCAGATGTGGCCAAGGCCGTGCAGGGTGCTGGTACCAGCGAAGGCGGCCAGGTCGCGGGTGCGCCGGCGGCTGGGCTCCTCGATCAGGCTCTCCTTGTCCCCTTCCTCTTCCTCCTCCTGCTTCTCATCCTCCTCGGCAAATTTAATTTTACACACGATCTCAATTGGCATCTGCCCAGAGCGGCCGGCGCGCCCACCGTGCCCAGCCAGCGAGCTAGCCCCCGGCGTGGGGACCTGGCCAGAGCCAGGGACGGGCACGGGGGAGCCTCCTCTGTGGCAGGACACCTCACCCGCCGAGCGAGAGCGGGGCGATGCCAAGGGAAGCGCAGCCCTTCTCCGGCGCTCCCAGCCGCTGCTTCCCTCTTGTCTCACGAGTCGATCGTCTCCTTGTGCCTTCGCTTATCAGCACAAATACAGCTGTCAAATAACCCGGCCTCTGCCTCCCTGCGCTGGCGAAGACCCGGCAGAGACAGGCAGCGGGTAGGCAGCATGTGCTAATACAATCCAGGGAACACTTAATCATTCAAGACATGTCACCGGCATTTCCCCGTGCAGCCCGGCGCGTGAGCAGAGGCGGCGGGCAGGGACCGGAGCCCCCCGGGCAGGGGGCCGCACCGAACCGAGCCCCGCCAGCCCCGGCCAGCTCCAAAGTGCTGCTCCAGCCACTTGTTAGAACAGCTCGGCCGCGGCAAAGTGATGCCAAGGGGAGCAGAGAGCGCGGCCGCTCGCTGGCAGCTCCGCTCGCCCGCCGGGGCCTGGCACCCCTGCCACGACTTCCTGCCCCAGGAGAGGAGCAGTCACCGCGGCTGGAGCGGGGACTGGGAGCCGGAGGCAGCCTGCAGCCAGCCAGCCGAGCAGCCCCTCCTAATCCCCCGGCCGTGGATCCTCCTGGACGTTAACCGCCTCCCTGCCGTGCGGCTCCTGCTCCCAAAGTTGGGAGCTGCAAACCCTCCGGCTCCTGGGGCCCGCGAGGCCGTGCCGGCCGTGCCCTCGCCGCGGGCCACCCGCCTCCTCCCTCGCCGGCTGCGCGCTCAGGGCGAGGAGGGGAGAGGAAGCCGGCAGGAGGAGCTGCCCCGATCGATGGCGCTCCCCGCAGAACAAGCCGCGGGAAAAGTGAAAAGGGTTATTGATCCGTGCGAAGCAGCAGCTGTCAGGGATTAGGGCTCCCTCCCCTTCCCGGGAATTAATGCCGCGCGGAGCGGAGCCTGAGCCGGCTGCAGCTCTGCATGGGCCAGCGGTTCCCTCGGCTCCGGGCTGGCCAGGCTCCTGCAATCGCGGCTCGCCAAGTTCCTGCCCCCTCGCCCGCAAGGGGGCCAGGGAACCCCAGGAAATGCCGCCGGGCCTGGCGACGGGCCCCGGAGCAACGCAGCATCGGGCTCGGGCCGGCTCAGCCAGCGTGGCCGGGGGTCTCACCGGGCCCAGAGCCATGGGGCACTGGGCAGCTCCAGCCTTCGGCCCAGGGGCAGGGGGCGCAGCAGGGCCCCACACCCACCGACGGCCCCCGCCCGTCTCAGGGCCGGGGCTGCCCAAGAGGAGGCAGGAAGCCACCGTCTGGGCCAGAGCGGAGCAGGGCCCCAAATCTGGGCATGGGGGCAGAGCTGCCCCCAGACACCCACAGGCCGGGCCAAAGCCAGCCCGGCAAACGCCACACAAACCTGCACCCATCCTGAGGGCCTGCACAGGCCCCACGAGCCAGCCCCACACCGCTCGCTGTCCTCCTCTGCACAGATCCCCCGCTCCCTCCGGCTAGCCACACCGCTCGCCACACCGCTCCCTCCGGCTAGCCACACCGCTCGCCGTCCTCCTCTGCACAGACCCCCCGCTCCCTCCGGCTAGCCCCACACCGCTCGCCGTCCTCCTCTGCACAGACCCCCCCGCCCCCCGCTCCCCCAGCCAGCCCCACACCGCTCACCGTCCTCTTCTGCACAGACCCCCCCACGCCCCCCCAGCCAGCCCCACGCTGCTCACCATCCTCCTCTGCACAGACCCCCACGGCCAGCCCCACACCGCTGACTATCCTCCTCTGCACAGACCCCCCTGCCCCCCACTCCCCCCAGCCAGCCCCACACCTCTCGCTGTCGTCCTCTGCACACACACACCCCCCAGCCAGCCCCACACCGCTCATTCTCCTGCTCTGTACAGACCCCCCCAGCTCTGGTGGTACCCCCCCGCCACTGCCCGCTGCACAGAGACCTCCGGTCAGCCCCCCCGCCCCACACGCTGCACAGACCTCCCTGCCAGAGGTTGCTCCCCCTGCACATAGCTCTGCTTTCACCCCCACAGCTGATCTTTGCAGAGTCCCCGCACCCTGCACTGCAGGACACCCCTAGGGCCCAGGTCTGCAGCCCACATTTCCAAGCTGGACCCCTCAGGAGCTGGCCAGGGGCCTAGTCTGGCACGAGCGAGGACTGGCCCTGCCCCCTGCAATGAAGCGGGACTGTTCTTAATGTTTCCTCTGAATAGTGTGGGGGTGCCTCAGTTTCCCCTAGGCAGTTCTTAAGCCTCTAAGTGGTGGGATAAGGGTGTATGATCATTGCAGAGCCCTAGAGGGCAGGTGTGTGCAGGGGTCTGGACACAGAGAATGGCCGACACCCTGTTTCCTGGCCACTGATGGCCTGGGCCCTTCCCCCCTTCAAGGTGAGAGCTAAAGGGTTGGAGAACAAAGGAATCCGGTGCCCTCCTGGCCTGGGGACAGGGACAAAGCCGAGAGGAGGAGGGGCTGGAGGGAGTTTCAGTTTGGGGCTGGCTGGGGACAAGGAGACGGGGTTGTCTGGCTCACTGCCCCCCAAAATGGACCCAGCTGAGGGGTCCTGTTCTCTGCACCTGCAAGCTCTGTTTTAGACCATGTTCCTGTCGTCTAATAAACCTCTGTGTTACTGGCTGGCTGAGAGTCCCGTCTGACTGCGGAGTTGGGGGGCAGGACCCTCTGGCCCCCCCAGGACCCCGCCTGGGCGGACTCGCTGGGGGAAGCGCACGGAGGGGCAGAGGAGGCTGAATGCTCCGAGGTCAGACCCAGGAAGGTGGAGCCGGGGGAGCTGTGTGTCCTGCAGACAGGCTGCTCCCCGAGGAGACTCCCCAGAGTCCTGCCTGGCTTCGTGAGGAGCAGATCCAGAGCATCGCCCGGGGACCCCGGGACACCCCCCAGAACCTCCACCATGGGCTCACCCCCAAGAGACACAGTGTGGGGCAGCCCCAGGCAGGCGGGGCCAGGCCAACAGCAGTGCCCAGATTCCCTACGCTGGGCCCAGGCGGTGCCCCGAGCTATGCCGCGCCCTCGCCCCCTGTCCCTCACCCGCAGCCCGGGGTGGGGAGCCAGGGTCTGTTTCTGCCCCGGGCTGCAGCCTCCCCCCGTCCCAGGGCACGATGCTCCCGCCCCAGAGCTGGGCGATTGGCAGGATGCCGACCAAGTGCTGAGTGTTCGGGGTGAGCAGGGGCAGCCCCCTCATCCTGCACCCCCGGGAACATCCCCCTCGCTAGGGCACCCCCCTTGGCAGCCGCCCCCCCTCCCCGGGCACCGTGCAGTGGGTCAGAGCCACTCTCACGCCACGGCCGATGCCACCAGCAAAGCTCCAAACCCGGCTGGGGTGGGCGCCTGGCCCCTGCCTCCGTGCAGGCCAATGGAGCCGGGCCGGCAGCCTCCTGCAGGGTGCACGCACTGAGCCCAGCACCCCGCTCCGGGGCACCCCACTCACGCGCTGGCCAGGCCCAGCATCAGTCTCTTTTCAGCCTCCCACCAACAGCCCCACAAACAAATGGCCCTTTAACACCCCACTCCCAGCTGCTGGCCTGGCTCAGCAGCCCCAAGGCCAGAGGGGCATTCGTGGGATCTCACTGCCCATCCCAGGCATGTCTCCAGCTGGTGCCCTCCCATCACTGTAGCCTCCCCTGCCCCTCCAGCTGCACTCACCCCCCAGGGAGCCTGGCTGTACCAGGCCACCAGCAGCCCCCAACCCCCCAGGGCAGCACCAAACCCGCAGCGAGAAGAATAGGAGTACTTATGGCACGGTACATCACAGCTGCCCCCTCCCCCTCCCTGCTCAGCGAGTGCTCTTCAGGTGAGGGTGACCCCCAGGGTCAGGCCGGGCCAAACCCAGCTCTGTGCCCATTACTCCCCCAGCCAGGCTACCAGCCTCCACCACCCTGCCCCAGGGCAAAGCAACTTGTGATCCAACCCCAGGCACACTGACCATTTGGGCCAAGTGGCCCATCATGCTGTGTGCCTCAGCGGAGGGGGCGGGTCTATGCAAATAAGGTCAGTTTATTCAGCCCTTGTGACAGCTGGGGCTTTGCTAATTGGGGTCCTGCAGCTGATTGGGGCCCAAGCAATGGCTAGGTGCTTGTGCCTAGAGTGGTGGAGAGGGGCTGGAACGGCAGCTGCCCCTCTTGGCTTCTGGGGTCAGGCACCGCACCCCTGAGACCTTCACGCTCCCACGGGGCAGGGGCTGGCCCTGCCTTGCTCCCCGGACCACAACTGGCCTCCTGGAGCCCAGGCCGTGGTCGAGGGAGGGGCAAGTCTGCTGCACAGACGTGACTCTCAGCCAGCCAGTAAAACAGGTTTATTAGGCGACAGGGAACATGGTCTAAACCAGAGCTTGTAGGTGCAGAGAACAGGACCCCTCAGCCGGGTCCATTTTGGGGGGGCAGTGAGCCAGACACCCACGTCTGCCCTTCACTCCATGTCCCAGCGAGCCCCAAAACTGCCTCCCCCTCCAGCCCCCCCTCCTCTGGGCTTTGTCCCTTTCCCGGGCCAGGAGGGCACCGGATTCCTTTGTTCTCCAGCCCTTTAGCTCTCACCTTGCAGAGGGGAAGGGCCCAGGCCATCAGTCGTCAGGAGACAGAGTGTCGGCCATTTATGGACCCTGGCCCTTTGCTCTGCAACAATTACACCCCCTTATCCCACCTCCCCTAGAGACTTAAGAACTGCCAGGGGAAACTGAGGCACCCCTACAGTATTCACAGGAAACATTAAGAACAGCCCCGCTTCGTCACAACTAGAGACTGGCCTGGCACAGTGCAGCGCCCTGTGGAGGGCCAGGCGCTGGCCCGGGGCCCTGACCCAGGGCGGACGACGGGCCGGCCTGGCCGTCGTACCCGGCTGTCTCTGACTGGTCAGGATAGCTGCTGCCACCTCAGTTGGGCAGAGTTTGTTGCCCTGCAATCCCAGAGCCCAGCAGCCTGCCCAATGCCCCTCCCTGTTCACTTCCCTGCCCCGGGCGTCAGCCCGTGCCCACTCCAGGCTCCCTTCTGAGCACCCCCGGGGCCACGGCTTCCCCCAGCCAGCTTCGCCCACCCCTGAGCCACAGAGACTGAGCGGCTCTGGGAGCCCTTCGGCCAAGGGCTGCCCGGGACAGAGCCAGCTAGTGGGTGAGTGCGTCGGATCGACTCAGCCCCCTGCAGGGGTGGGTGCTGCCCAATGCAAGGCCCTGCGCTTCCCCCCTGCCCGTCAGGACCTCTCCCGTCCCTCGCGGGGCCTTCCCCTCCTGCTGCCCAGGCTGTGCGGAGCCCTGGCCCCAAGCGGGCTGCACCCCGGGAGCAGGGACAGGCCGGGCTGGAGCCGGCCAGGCTGGCAGGCTGCCCGGCTGGGAGGACGCGGGGCTCGGGGCAGGATGCAGGGAGCCTGGCTGAGCCAGCAGGTGCCCCTGGGCAGACTCGGTCCTGGGCCCTGCCACGTGCGCGCGTGGCCCCCGAGGGGGCAGCCGCCGGCCCCAGCGTCGAGTAGCAGCTCCGCGCGCTCCACGGAGGGGCCGGCCGCGCCACGAGCCCACGGGCCGGGAGCCGGGCGCTCGTTAATTCTGATCGATTTGAAGGGACGCGGCTGCAGCGCTCACTCCGCATCGTGCCCAGCAGACGCCCAGCCCGGGCACAAGCCTGTGTGGCCGGCCCCGGCCCCGGGCGCTGGCTGGCGGGCTGGCGTCTCCTGGTTAGCGCAGGCAGGTCAGGCACCACCCGGCCCTGGGGAGGGGCTGCCAAGCCGGGGCTGGTGCAGGCGGCAGGCTCAGACCTCGGCAGGGAGCTCAGCTTGCTGGCCAGGCGGGCCCTGGGGTGGGGGGCTCTGGACGGGGCTGCCTGGCTAAACGTCAGGTGATTGCTCCCCCGCCCCCTCCGGTGCTGCACAGTGAAAACACGGGCGCGACCGCTGGGGGCAGGCCCGGAGCCAGCCTGGCAGCGGTGCTGAGACACCCAGGACAGCGGGGCGGGGCCGGGACGCTGCAGGGGAAAGCGCTCCGAGGGGGGACCCCAGAACTGGTTGGGGGGCAGGGAGCCGGACACAGGCAGACAGGATTGGAACCAGCTGCCCCACGCACGACCAGGCGGTGCAGCACGGGCAGGGGCAGCCCCAGCCTGGCTCGCCAGCCTCGGACCGTCT